GGCCTGAGTTTACAGGTCCTCGCGAACAAACAGATAACAACATTCTTTCAGTTCCCACTGCAGCACTAAGGAAAGTGACAACAGAAAAGGAAAATTGTATAAGATCTCATCTCGACATGTTAAAAAAAATGAATTGTAAATCAGATGAGCTTTGTGCTGGCATTTCTTTTTTAATTTAATTTATTTATTGTTGACAGTATTACAGATGTCCCCCATTTCCCCCTCTTTTGCCCCCCTATATTAGTATTGCTTTGTGGAAAAAGGCAAGATACCCTTAGCTTATTCACTAATTGGATTGTATAAGAATAAAAAATGGGTTAAATTAAGTCTGAGTAGCTTCCTCCTCCTGGCCTTGATCTGATGGCTGTGAGTCAGCTCAAATACCATGGGTATGTCTGTGTCTGGGGAGGTGTGGGGGTGTGGGTGTAGAGAGAAAGAGAGCAGATTGATTGATTGATTGATTGATTGATTTGAAGGCATGGCTTCTGTGACTGTAGAGTCTAGCACATCCAGAATCTGCAGGGTAGGCTATCAGGCTGGAGACCTGGTCTGCAGGTCAAAGCTCCTCTTCCCCGGGGGAGGCCAGCATTTTCTTTAAGGCCTTCAACTGATTGGATGAGGCCCACCCACATTATGGAGGGTAATCTGCTTTACTCAAAGTCTGCTGAGTTCAGTGTTAATCTCATCTTTAAAAAATACCTTCACAGCAACCTCTAGAATGTTTGGCCAAATATCTGGACATTGTTTATTACTTCCCTGTTCCCAGAAGGTCCTGGGAGCAGAGAAGTAAGAAACATTCAGAGGTTAGGCCAAGCAACAGAATGTGGTGTGAAAGGCCAGGAGACATAAAATGAGACATCACCCGATATGTTAGCATACGGCAGCTCTTCTGATCCACAGATTGGAGCTCACAAACCTCATCCCCTTCGTCAGAGCCTCACATCCATAAGCAAGTGACGACAGAGGCTGAGTGGAGGAAAGCCCTTGTCATGCAGTCCTCCAGGGCACTGCAGCATTGCTATCTTCAGAGAGATCTTTCAGAGATGAGAGGGCAGTGAAGGGTAAATGAGGTGTGATGGCCTCTGAAGAAGAAAGGAGGTGTAGAATACATCTTAGAAATAGCCCACTAAAATGGTTGAGATAAAAGGCTTCTGAGAAGGTATGATTTTCCTGGAAAATCCCCACATGAGGAATAGCTGCTTCTATGGTGGTGCTCAGTACTCAGTACATAGTACTCAGTACCTGAGCATGAATCTCCTCTAAGGAGTTAAGTTCCCAAGCACAGAAGGACATTCTTTTGAAGTTACTGTTACATCATTCCCCAATAGTATCCACTTATTTGCAAAAGCTCCAGTATTTGAGGGCAAGCTGACTTAAACCTCTAATTAATTAGCATAGGTTAGTTACACCCAATTTGTAGGAAAAAGACACAACTGCATGTAGTAAGAGATTTACTCAAAGCAAAGACTTGTGGGCATTTTTGTGTCCCCTGACACCTTTGCTGGTCTGTTCCCACTTGCAGACTCGCCAGCCTCTGCCCAGGACCTCCTGTCCCGGATCAAACAGGAGGAGAACCCGTGCGTGTGGGATCAGCAGGACTTGGCAGAGAGAGATATTCCAACGGACCCCAATTCAGGTGAGCATGGTGCTCTGGAATATTGGGAGGACAAGGCTGCTGGGTTTTATTATTATTGACTAGAGGCCTGGTGCACAAAATTTGTGCACTGGGGAGGGGAGGTCCCTCAACCTGGATTGTGAGAAGGCGCAGGCCAGGCCGAGGGACCCCACTGGTGCACGATTGGGGCCTGGGAGGGATAGGGCCTGGGAGTAACACAGGAGGTTGGCCAGCCGGGGAGGGACTGCGGGAGGGCTTCAGGGCATGTCCTACCCATCTCGCTCAGTCCCAATCTGCCGTACCCCAGCAGCAAGCTAACCTACCAGTCAGAGGTCTACCCCTGGTGGTCAGTGCACATCATAGCCACTGGTTGACTGGTCAACTGCCTGCCCCCTGGTGGTCAGTGCACGTCATAGCGAGCGGTTGAGTAGCCTTAGCATGTCATTAGCATATTATGCTTTGATTAGTTGAACAGACGACCAGATGACTGGCCATTTAGCATATTAGGCTTTTATTATATAGCATTTTACAGAGGGAGAGTGAGATAAAAACATCAATGATAAGACAGAATCATCGGCCCTGACCGGTTTGGCTCAGTGGATAGGGCGTCAGCCTGCGGACTCAAGGGTCCCGGGTTCGATTCCGGTCAGGGGCATCTACCTTGGTTGCGGGCACATCCCCAGTGGGGGGTGTGCAGGAGGCAGCTGGTCGATGTTTCTCTCTCATCGATGTTTCTAACTGTCCCTCTCCCTTCCTCTCTGTAGAAAATCAATTAAATATATTAAAAAAAAAAAAAAGACAGAATCATTGATCAGCTGCCTCCTGCATGCTCCCTACTGGGGATCGAGCTGCAACTCAGGCATGTGCTCTGACCCTGGAATCGAGCTGTGACCTCTTGGTTCATAGGTTGCTCAACCACTGAGCCACTCCAGCTGGGCTGCAACTTTGTACAGAGTTTAGAAAGTGGAAAGGGTTTTTCTAGAGGAGTCATTAATTGACAATTTACTGTGTTAATGTAACTAATACTAAAATTACTTCAGCACCGGTTTTTAAACAATAAATATAACCAAAAAGGCTTTTAAAAGTTGTGTATATGTCTGTAAATGTGTATTCACACTTTCTGGAATTTTTCTTGAGTGAATACTAGTTAGATGTCTCCCAGGAAAACTTCTGGGGAGGGTCTAGGCATAAAGGAAAACATAAAATAATCATTGGGACGCCCTGCCTGCCTTGGGCGTGTGTGTGTGTGTGTGTGTGTGTGTGTGTGTGTGTGTTGACATGTGCTTGCAGACCTGGTGAACTCCAGTGTCATCTCATTTGGTAATTATGACCCCAAAGTTTGACCCTACCCCTGCATACCAGGAAGAGAAGACCAAATCTACAGCTTTACAATGGGGAGGTTGAGAGGCTCCAGGGCAGAAGGGAAAGCCAAGCCTTCCTGATAGAGTGCAGTTCTTATGACGACCTTTGCTCACGGCTTCCACCATCGCTGATCTTTAAGTTCCACCTCTCATCCCTCGGTCCCGTGGGCCTTCAGAGACCAGGCTGCCCTCTGGCTTGTCCTGGACCTACAGGCTGTTCTGGGGTTCAGTGGACATAGTCAGGAGACCTGGGTTCTAATCCTGGCTCTGCCACCACACACACTTTGGGACAAGCCTCCTCCTCCCTGACCACCGGGAAATGTAGTGAGCACAGTGATATCCCGTTTACGAAGGCATGAGGGGGGAGGACTGCCAGTAAATGAAACTGATACCAAAACCGCCACTTGCCCCGAGAGCTGGAGCTGCAGCCTTTGCATGTGATGGTTTTCGAGCCTTTGATGGGATGCTCAGCAGAAATGAACAGATGCTAAGACTGCCTTCTTTCCACGAACAGAGTCTCTGATCTCAGCACATGACATTTTGTCATGGATCAAGCAGGAGGAGCAGCCGTACCCGTGGGGCCCTCGCGACTCAATGGAAGGAGAGCTGGGATTAGACTCTGGCCCCAGTAAGTGCTGCGTGCGGCACCCCCGGGGCCCCTGGGTGTTTGTCCAGAGGGGTGGCTGCTCCCTCAGCCTACCCTCTGATAAGGCGATGCTCTGTTGGGGCAGGCAGCCTTTCATCAGTCTGTACCAGAGGCAGGCCCCTTTCCTTTTGCAGGCTGGGAGGCATGTTCATTTCCTGGGGCTGTCTTCAAGGCCCACACTCTGGGTGGCTTTAAAAAACAGAAATGTGTTGTCTCACAGTTCAGGAGGCCAGGAGTCTGAAGTCAAGTGGTGGGCAGGGCCACACCCTCTCTGAAAGCTATAGGAATGCTTCCTTGCCTTTCCCAGCCTCTTGTGTTTTGGCAACCTTTGGTGTTGCTGGGCTTGTGAGTGTGTCACCCTAGTCCTCTGTCTTCACGTGGTGTCTGTGTTCACCAGGCTCATAAGGACACAGTCATATTGGATCAGGGCACCCTCCTCCAGTGGGACCTCATCTTAACTAATTCCATTTGCAAGGACCCTATGTCCAAATAAGGTTGAATTCTGAGGTCCTGGGTGTTCCGATATTTATAGTTTTTGGTGTGGGAGAGGGGAGGGAGGTATAATTTAGCCCATAACAGTAGGGAAAGGAGAGTGGGCTGGGACAGAGCTGACAGGAGTTGATGGCTCACGTCTAGACAGCACTGGGCGGAGCCAGCCCTGCGCTGGCACCCCCGTGTCACTGGTGAAGATCCTGAAGCTCGAGTAGAGAGAGGGGATTCCCCCACCACCATCACCACCAACAGGTTTCTGACCAAATGTCTCACTCAGTTTGGGTCTCCTGGGCATTTTTTGAAGCTCCACTTATTAACCAGTAATCATGGGGATTTAACACTCTTAGCATCAGGGTAGCGTTCCTTGCCAGACCCAGTACCCTCACCCTCTTCTGGTTGATCGGAATGTTGAATCCATATTCCTGACACCCTCTAAGAGCTTAAAATCCATGTAAGAGCCGAGGACACAAGTCATTCCTGACCTGAAGGGCCATTTCAAACCCAGGTCAGCACATCCCACTCTCTGTGAGACTAACTTAATCCAGAGTGGAGGCCCTTCTGACACAGGAGTGACTTCTCCAGCCTCTTCAGCTGCTTGAGGCCGGACGCAGCAGTGGGTTCCGGTTGCAGGCAGAAGAGAGGACAGAGGGTGAGGGGGTTTCACCGTGAGTGACCGCAGCGCTGACCACAGAGCTAAGCTGGGTCTCGAAGGGAGAACAAAGGAGACAAAAGCCGCCCGGTGCTCACACCGCGTTTCCGGAATCGTCAGGGTAGCATTAGGGCTGTGTTGGGTTGGGTTTCTAGGGAATCAGTCCCTGAGATGGAGGGTTAGTGTAAGTGGTTTCCTCGGGGTCCTCTGGGAAACGCCCGGGAAAGAATGGGGGGAGCAGATTGGGGTAGAAGGAGCAGCGAGGCCACAGCCAGGATCGCAGGCATTGTCCTGGACGTGCTGGCTGAGGCCTGAGCGTTACCTCTGCCCTGGCCACTGTCCTATGGAGAGGGCTGTTTGTTGTTTGCTGGTCAGTTGTGATTGGCACAGAGAGGACAGG